GACAGATATAGTTTGGATTCTGTCATGACAGATAGCACTGAACAGACATCACTGTCATTGATATGGATCTTGGCAAATGACAATGACACAGTACATAAGCAGCTTGTCATTTGCTGTGGTTTGTACTAATGTAGCGACAGTTGCAGTATCATGTATTAACATTAATCAATCGTTTCCCACCAGAAAAGAAGTCTAAATAATATGACATTTACAAGTAACAGCACAGTACAAAAAAAAGCAGCATTAAAGTTATTCTAGTAAAATGTTGTGAACGCTATTTTTAAATGCATTGTCACATATGTTTCTGATCTTGCCACTGCGCAGAGCGTTCCATTGAGTATGCACAAACCAAGTTGTGAGATATGTAGAATTAATACAGGATTCATGAAGTATAGCTGTTTTCTGTGTCAGTTTGGTCCTGTTGATTTTCTTTTCATATACTATTTGATTCTGATGTGAAGCTGCAGAATCACATGTTTGTACTTTTTTTTGTTAATTCGACACAACTGGTGGAGTAAAAATTAAAGTACTAAATGGTAGAACACGAAACATTTTGTCTTAAGTTAATACTTGATACAATTAGTTTCATATGCAGGACAGGATTTTCTAGATATTGTAGTTTGCACCTGATTACCTGAAAAATTGGCTTGCATGCATCCCAAAAGTCTTTTCGCAGTGGTGGGAGCCCTGATGCGCTGAAGATGGAGTTTCTACACATCATTTGGGAGGATGTCCTACCTTGCTGCTCTGTAATCCCAACAGCACTAGTGGCAGCAGCAGTCAAACTGAGATTATAAACAGACACCACTTTCCCAAATCCCAGTTCAGTGTGGGCAGGGTCTCAATGTGGGAAGGTGGGGAATGAAGCTGGGTGCAGGTATTGGAAGGTTTTAATGGTGAAGCTGGACTCTTGAAAAAGATCCTCATTCCCCTTCCCACTTAAAGCTTCAGCAGGGTTACGTGCCAGGTTTCCCCTCTACCCCTGAACTCCCAAAAACCTCAGAGTTAATACTGGATTGGAGGTGGGCCTCAAGTGAACAATAAGTAAAATTATGTGCTGATCATAGATATGCAGCAGGGCAGCAGATTCCCAGCTACAAACCTGTCAGTAGGGACCCATAAAATTCTGCTCTTATTACTTCTAATTTCTAAACATTGTGTTCATTAGTTTGATTTGTTTGGAGGATAATTATGGTTTTATACCAGTGGAGACATGCATGAAATATGTGTGTTGTTTATGAGTTATCAAATAATCAAGATGTTTATTAGCGGGATTCTCCCAAGTGCAGAGTCAGTATTCACACTATAGAATATGTGCATATTTAACCTCTTGTGTTGTCATCAACTGCAGTTATAATCTATATTGCTGCCTGTTTTATTACAGTTTGTTTTTATTGTTTCGGTTATATATGACATAACCTCCTCCCACAACCCTAAAAATTCAAAGAAGAATAATAATATACAATGACTCCAGGCAAATCTTAGGGTTCCAGTGAGTGTGCTCCTGCCTCTGAGCCAGAAGCATTGTGTACAGTCCTACCTGCGGGACCACAGAAGGCGTGTTTATGATGCAGCCAATCAGGTTGATAATCATACTGCTAATCCTTCCCTCATCTGGACAAATTTCTAGTCAGCTGTGGTTGCATGCCAAGTGGTGTCCCACAAGTATCATCACTTTTTTCCAGTGATTCACAGGGTGTGGGCTTTGCTAGGTGAGCAAACATTTATTTCCCATCCCAAATAGTCCTCGCAAAAATGCAAAACTGCTGTTCTTAAATGGTGTAGGTAGACCTTCAGTGCATTTAGAATTTCAGAATTTTGACGTAGCATCAGTGAAGGAACAATGACATATTTCCAAGTCAGGATTCTGGGTGGCTTAGAGAAGCACTTGGAGGTGGAGCTGTTCCCATGTCTCTGCTGCCCTTGTCCTTCTAGATGGTAGTAGTCACAGCTTTTGAAGGTGTCCATAAGGAGCCCTGTGAATTTCTGCAAAGCATCGTGCAGGTGCTACACACTGCTGCTACTGTGCATCGGTAGTGGAGGGAGTGAATGTTTGAGGATGTGGTGCTAATCAGTGGGCTGCATTGACCTAGATCATGTAAAGTTTCTTGAGTGCTGTTTGAACTATACTCATTCAGGCAGATGGAGAGTATTCCATCATACTCCTGACTTATGATTTGTAGATAGTGGAAAGACATAGGGAAATCAGGAGGTGAGTTGCTTGCTGCAGGATTCCTAGCCTCTGACTTGCACTTGTAGCCACTGTATTTACGTGGCAGCATGTGATAATTAACAGGAGGTTTCTTTGCCTATGTTTCACTTGATGCTATAAGACTTCACAGGGATGAAGACTAGGACACCTCCCTCCCAACTGAATGCCACTCTGCTGGGTCTGTCCTGCCAATTTTACAGCCATATCCAATAGTTGGTGTTGTCTGGGGCATTATCTGTAAGGTATGATACCATAAGTATGACTATGTCAGGATGTTGCTTGACTAAGGGAACGGGTTAAACTAAAATGGCAGGGAAATGGGAACCTATACAGGGAGGTAGAAGAGAGAGAAAAACAAGGGTAAAAATCCAAAGACAGGATGGGAAATAAGAAAAGTGTTAGGCAGAGAATTCAAGGGCAAGATTCAAACAGAGCCACAGAACAAAATAACATGAATGGCGTGAAGGATGTTAAAAAGTCAAGCCGTAAGACCTTGTGTCTAAATGTGTTGCCCAATTGCAATAAAGTGGATGAATTAATCTGCAAACAGACATTCAGGAAATGATGCAGTTGGGATTACAGAGATGTAGCAGCAGGGTGAGCAGGGATGGGAGCTGAATGTCCAGAATAGACAAAAAGGAAAAGAAGTGGGGTAGCATTGCTGGTTAGAGAGGATATTAATTCAATAGTGAGGAAGGATATCAGCTCCTGTGAGGTGGAATCCGTATAGATGGAACTTAGAAAGACCAAGATGCACAAAACAATAGTGGGGGTTGTATATGGACCCCAAAACTGTAGTGGCAGTGTTGAGGAAGGCATTAAACAGGAACTTAGAGATGCAAGCAATTAAGACATAGCTGTAATTATAGACAACTTTAATCTGCATGTAAATTGGACAAAACAAATCAATGACAACATTGTAAAGGAAAATTCCTACAGTGCGTACGAGATGGATTTCTGGATTAATTTGTGGAGGAACCAACTAAAGAACAGGCTGTTCTAGACTGGGTGTTGTGTAATGAGAAAGGAATAATTGGCAATCCTCTCTCAATAGAGAAGGATACTTTTGGTTACTCTCATACTGTGACCAATTGTGTGACATTGATCCATACTGCATTTCAAATGTCATCCCTGATCTATGGTGTTTCAGATGATTTCAACTAGGGTGGCAGTAAGGATCTAATGGGGAGAATTTTAACCAAGGAACGGTTAATTCAATTCTAAAATTCAAATTTCTGCCTTTAACTCACCCACTTGTAGGTTTAATATGATAATGATGCCGCAACCATCGCTTCTCAAATTTGACTGTGGTTGACTGAGTTTCCAGGGCCTGATGAGACATAGAAACAGGATTATGTGTTATTTATTGTCACATATATCTAGAAAGATACAGTGAGAAGTGTTTTATTGCCACAACCTAGCGCATTTGCAGTTAGAAAAAGAATAAGGAGAAATTACATAAATTCATCTTCTGTATAATGGGCCTTCAAACGCACCTCCAGGGGTTCTGCAAGATCTCCAGGTTTTCAAGGATTCCCCGCTCTGTGTACAGCAATGACGACGCCACCAAGAGTCCACGCTTCAGGCATATCACAGCCAGGAGTCCCTGCTCCCGACACCACCACAGACAACGACCCTCTGAATCTATGCTTCAGGCCTACCGCAACCAGGAGTCCTTGCTCCAAGCGCCATGATCGCCACAGCTGACGACCCACGGAGTCCATGCTCCAGGCCTACCATATCCCAGCCCTTTGCCCCTGTTCCACCATTCAATAAGATTATGGCTGATCTCTGAAACCTGATCTGAGACCCAATAACTTCAATCAGGTGAAGATTGGTGAACCCAGGAGCTGAGCATTTTTACATCTACTGTCTGAAACCAGTGTGCGTGCTTGGACAACGCTTGCAAATGATCAACTACTATTTAGGATGGAAATGCAATCTGTTTTGATGTCTCATCTCGCTTCCTGCAGTCATGTGACCTCTGCCATGAGACATTGACTTGGAATTTCTAAAGAATTCTGATAAAGTCATAGTACAAGCCAGACTGCTGTCATGACACTCAAAACACTCCTAACCCCGAACAAAAACAAAAGTTGCTGGAAAAGGTCAGCAGATCTAGCAGCATCTGTGAATTAAAATCAGAGTTAACATTTCTGGTCCCTTGACCCCTCCTCAGAACATCTTTTCAAGCAGGATTAAGTAACTCTCAACAAAAAAATTGATTTAATATAAAATGAGAGCCCTGCTTTTCCCTTGTCAACACCCATGACAAAGAAGGGTGTTAATTGGGCATTTTCAGGCCTGCAGGTTTTAATTTTTCATTCTGCTAATGAATGGAAAACTTTAAAGTTTCGGAGAAGATTTGATCATTAATCTATATTGATAACTTCTAGATATGTTCTTCACTGGGAGAAAACATTCTGTAAAACATTTTATAATCTTAAAAACATTTATTAGGTTACCCTTCAGACTTCATTTTCAAGACCCTGTTTGTCTTTTCCTGATAGACCCAGGCATTTCTGGCGTAAATCTTGAAAGGCTTCTCTGCACTCTCTCCAGTGTATCTGTATATTTTTTATAATACAGCAACCAGAACTGCATGCAGTTCTATAAATGTGGGCCAATCATTGTTTAATAATATGTATGAAAGTAATTGATTCCTTTAATACAACTGATACGTTGCCAAGCATGCTGGCATTCTAAACAACATGAAATGATCTATTCACCTTTTCCCACTGTTCACAGACTACTTGCTTGATTTTTTATTGTCTTTATTTAATTGTAGGAAACGTGAGGAGGAGAACAAAAGAAAGGAGGCAGAGATTCAGAAGGAACAGAAGAGATTGGAATCCGAATTAAATGTACAGCAAAGGGTAGCAAATCTGGAAATCAGTTGCCAACTTGCAGATCTTTATCCAGTAAATGGAGAGAGCACTTCCCCTACCATTTCAGAACATGATCAATTGGAGCTGAGAACTAGGAAAGATTTTAAAAGGAGTTCTAAAAGCAAATCTGAAAAGACAGCAACCATAAGGCCTCTCTTGCAAACTTGGAGGAGTGTAGACACTATTCAGAGTCACACTTCATCTATAGAAACTGGAAAAAGAGAGATGAAGAATGGAAAAGGTAAGATAGCTTTCAGTACATTAGCTTACACACATTAGTTAAGAATACTTAGAAAATGAATATTTACTGTTATGCAAGTCATTTTTATAATTGCTGGTAGATCTCCCATGATATTGCTAAGCGATAGCATAACACCTATGATCTAAATGTATGTAACACTATGTATATAATCAGAGGCACTCATTTCGGGTAGTTCAGATAAGCTGTTCTCTGTCCTTATTACGTGATTTAAGCTTTAACGGCTCCCGTGTTTTGGAGACCATGTGCATGATTCTGACCATTTTTCTATTAAAACAACATCATCTATTTTAACTGGGCCCTACCAAAAAAATATTCTCAGCCTTTATGCCTTTCAAATTGGAATTACTGGTTGATGGGTTTTCAAGAAAACACGTCACTGCCCCTACTTAAGCAGCATTTCCTTGAATACCAATAAGAAAAGTGTAAAATCCTTCCATGACCCAATCCCTTACTATCTCTGCAATAATTATTATCACAATAATAGTTATTTACTGGTTGGAAGGGTGAACTTTGGTAGCAAAAACAGTAAGAGAGAACATTATCTGAATGGCAATAGATTGGGAAAGGGGGAGGTGCAACGAGACCTTGTGCATCAACCGCTGAAAGTAAGCATGCAGGTGGGCCAGGTGTTGAAGAAGGCAAATATGAAGATGGCCTTCATAGCAAAAGGATTCAAGTAGAGGAGCAGGATGTCTTGCTGCAATTGTACAGGGCCTTGGTGAGACCTCACCTGGAGTATTGTTGCAATTTTTGTCTCTTTATCCGAGGAACAGTGTTCTGGCTATGGATGGAATGCAGTGAAGGTTTACCAGCCTGATTCCTGGGATAGCAGAATTGACATATGAAAAGAGACTGGATCAGTTAGGGCTGTATTCATTGCAGTTTGCAAGAATGAGGATATATGTCATAGAAACCTATAAAATTCTAACAGGACTAGACAGCGTAAATGCAGGAATGATGTTCCAAATGATCTCACAGCTCGGAACCAAGGGTCATAGTCTAAGGATATAGGGTAGGCCGTTTAGGACTGATATGAGAAATTTCTTCACCCAGAGAGTGGTGAGCCTGTGGAATTCTCTACCAAAGAAAGCAGTTGAGGCTAAAACATTGAAGATTTTCAAGAAGGAGTTGGATATAGTTCTTAGAGCCAAATGGATTTAAAGGTGTAGAGAGAAAGCGGGAGCAGGGTACTGAGTTGGATGAGCAGCCATGATCATATTGAATGCTGGAACAGGCTGAGTGGCCTACTACTCCTATCTTCTATGTTTTTGTGTTTCTGTTGGCAATCCTCTAATTCTATCCTCCTAAACATTCTTGATTTTAGTTGCTCCATCACTGGTGCTGTGCTTTTGGCTATAAAGGCTATAGCTCTGAAATTTCTTTCTTAAACCTCTCTAACCCTCTCTCCAATGTTCCTAACTCACCTATTTCACCAAGCATTTGGATATTTGCCCTAACACCTCTTTGTATGGTTTGGTGTCAGATTTGCTGGATGATGCTCCTTTGATCTTTTGGACAATTTACAATGTTAAAGCCTCCATACAAATATAAAATTTTAGTTAAATTACAGGATAATTAAAAGGTTACTTCAAAAGATAATTTGACATTTTTGGTGGATGTTATACTTTTCCTTACATTTTACTTAATTATACTACATACTGTTTGCTGTCTACATGTGCTAACTGGACATTGTTTAATTCAAGTTAGTGGATAATTCATTTCTTGACAACCAGGACCTTTGTTATTTCCCTCTCTAACTCATGACTTCAATATGGAAGTTGATGTGGTGATGCCAAGATATTTGGGAGTACAAAGACAGTGATGAATTAATGCTAAGCTTCTCAAAGCAGATTAAAATCTTTTGGGTGAACTAGGTTTTTTTCTTGCAAAATGATGTTTAACTTAGAATGGCATAAAATTATTTGGGCACAAAATTGAAGCAATAGGGATGGAAAGATATGCAAATGTGACATGCAAACTCTGTTTGTGGACAGTGCTATGACACAATGACTAAAGCAAAGAAGGTTGTATTCATAGACTACTGTCAAGAGTTGACGCATACCCTATTCTTGGTTTAAGCCTCAGTCAGAATTTTGCATCCAATTTTTCTTTCTTCACAGGTGATGGTTATTGAGACTTTGAGAAAGATGCAAAGGAGCTGAAAACACTAGCTCTCCTGATAAACTTAAAGATCTGGGCAGACATAATTTTTTAAAAAGTGAACTCAGAACTGCTTTAAACAATGTTTATAAAATAATGAAGAAACTAGTTGGGATCAATTGCTTCATCTGGATGTGTTAGTAAAGACCAGAGTTTGCATTTGCAAGTTTTATAAGAGCAGAAATGGGTTGGATTGCTAATAGTTCCTTGTTTCCCAGAGAATAGTTTGTATCTTTGGAACAACTTGCTAGTAAGGATATTCGGCCATATCTGTTCTCTCTAGTTCTAATGCACATTAGAAAGACAGAGGTTGAGGGGCCAAAGGGCCTGTTCCTGTGCTGTAATTTTCTTTGTTCTTTGTTCTTTGTAGTTAGCACTGCTGCCCTGAGTTGTGTGCCACCTTTTTCTGAAAGAGAGAGACGAAGTGTTTTGTGAATGGTGTGCAGTTTGCTTGTTTATGTGGTTATCGTGGTTGACCAGCTGTCAGTGTGGTCAGTCAGGGAGATATAGTTGTGCAATTTGTAGCAGTACTAGTGGCTGGAATTTACATGGCCCCACTGGGTGTTTTTGGCAAGGGTACATGTAAAATAGGATGAGTTCTCAGGCCATCACCTTCTCACTCCCCAAAATACAGATGGTGGGCACATGTCAAAAATGGCAGCCTACTTACTGTATGTAAATAAATAATTCACAGTCAATTGAGTTTATTAGTAGTTATGGTACTTTAGGACAGTAAGGTTATGGTTAGGATCATCTGAGGTCATTGAAATTTTTACCGTACTGCATTCAGTTCTTCAGAGCTTAATTCTTGTTATTGACAGTCTGACTGCCTTTTGAATGTTTGACTGGAAAGCCCTCTGGCCTCCTGTGGAGAGAGATTATCTCTCCTGCGATGCACCAAGGCATACAGTGCAGCTTTAGAGAATCTTGTTCCCACACTAACACCATCCTTTGTTTTAAATTCATTTATTGGACGTAGGCATCACTGGCTGGCCAGCATTTATTACCCGTTCCTAGTTGCCCTTGAGAAGGTGGTGGTGAATTTCCTTCTTGAACTGCTGCAGCCCACTTGCTGTGGGTTGACCCACAATACAGGTAGGGAGGGGAATTCCAGGATTTTGACCTAGCAATAGTGAAGGAATGGCGATATATTTCCAAGTCAGGATGACGAGTGGCTTGGAGAGGAATTTGCAGGTGGTGGTGTTCCTATATATCTGCTGCCCTAGTCCTTCTAGATAGAAGTGATCTTAAGTTTGAAAGGTGCTGCCAGAGGATCGTTGATGAATTTCTGTAGTATATCTTGTTGATAGCATACATTGCTGTTATTGAGCGTCGACAGTGGAGAAAGTGAATGTTTGTGAATGTGGTGTCAATCCTGGATGACATCAAGCTTCTTGAGCGTTCTTAGAGCTGCACCATCCAGGCAAGTGGGGACTATTCCATCATACTCCTTATTTTTTGCCTTGTAGATGATGGACAGGCTTTGGGGAGTCAGGAGGTGAGTTACTTGACACAGTATTCATAGCCTCTGACCTGCTCTTGTAGCCACTATGTTTATGTGGTAAGTCAGTTGAGTTTCTGGTCAATGGTAACCCCCAGGATGTTGATAGTGGGGCATTCAGTGATGGTAACACCATTCAATGTCAAGGGGCGATAGTTAGATTGTCTCCTACAGGTGATGCCTCACATTTGTGTGGCACATATGTTACTTGCCACTTGTCAGCCTAAGCCTCTATATTGTCCAGATCTTGTTGCATTTGAACATGGATTGCGTCAGTATCTGAGGAATTGTAAATGGTGCTGAACGTTGTGCAAGTCATCAGCAAACATACATCCATCATAAGGTCAGAAGTAAGGTCATTTGATGAAGCAACTGAGGATGGTTGGGCCCAGGATACTACCCTGAGGAACTCCTGCAGAAATGTCCTGGAGTTGACATGACTGACATTCAACAACCACAACCATCTTCCTATCTGCCAAGTGTGACTCCAACCAGTGGAGAGTTTGTCCCCAATACTCATTGATTCCAGTGTTGCTAGGGCTCCTTGAAGTCACACTTGGTCAAATGTAGCCTTGATGTCAAAGCTGTCGCTGTCACCTCACCGTTGGAATTCAGCTGTTTTGTCCATGTTTGAACTAAGTGAGGTCAGGAGCTGAGTGGCCCTGGTGGAACCCAGACTGGGCATCACTGAACAGGTTATTGCTGAGCAAGTGCTGCTTGATAGCACTGTTGCTGACACCTTCCATCACTTTACCAATGATCGACAATAGGCTAATGAGGCAATAATTAACCGGGTTGGATTTGTCCTGCTTTTTATGTAGAGATCATATTATATCATATCCACATTGCTAGGTAGATACCAGTGTTGTAACTGTACTGGAACAACTTGGCTAAGGGAGCGGCACGTTCTGCAGCACAAGTCTTCAGTTCTATTGCTGGAATGTTGTCGGGGCCGTAGCCTTTACAGCATCCAGTGACTCCAACCATTTCTTGATATCACATGGAGTGAATCGAATTGGCTGAAGACTGGTATCTGTGATGCTGGGGACCACTGGAGGAGGCCGAGATGGATCATCCGCTCGTCACTTCTGGCTGAAGATTGCCGCGAATGCTTCAGCCTTATCTTTTGCACTGATGTGCTGGGTTCTTCCATCTTTGAGAATGGGGATATTTGTGGAGCCTCCTCCTCCAGTAAGTTGTTTAATTGTCCACCACCATTCACAAATAGATGTGTCAAGACTGCAGAGCTTAGATCTGATCCGTTAGTTGTGGGATCGCTTAGTTCTGTTTGTCACTTGCTGCATATACTGTTTGCCAT